CCCAATGGTTTATGTTATATAGGAAGACCAGGGGTAGCCCTTGACATTTATATGAAAGAGCTGGAGGTGGCTCCCGACAATTTGCATGCAAGACCAGGGTTCAGACCCTGACAGTTATATGTAGTATGCTAGTTGTCTTTGTGATACTTGCATGGAAGACCATGAGGTGGCTCTTGGAACTTGTCTATAAGACCCAGGGTTTTGGCCCCCATCCTGGCAAGTAAAGACCATGATACGACTCATGGAATAATGAAAAGACTATGCTCGGCACATAACAATCTCTATTGTACGTATGATATGTGGTATTTTGGGAACTCACTAAGCTTTGTGCTTACGGTTTCAGGTACTTCCGGTTCGAAAGGGAAGAGCCTGACGTGATTACACAACATCTCCCAGAGTTTTCTGCATTGGTAATTAATGATATTATTCCGATGTTTAAATAATATATTCACTTTGATCGGTTTTGGAACAAATTGTTTGTATGATTTACTGTGTTAAAAATGAAAATTTTACTATGAATTTTTGGGACATTACACGGAGCGTAAATCAAATTTTTTTAAAAAGAAATAAGTGCCTTGTATTTGATCAAATACGTCATCTATTCTCGGTAAAGGGTAATAGTTTTTAATGGTTATCTTGTTGAGCTCGTGATAATCTGTGCACATTCACATCAAACCATCTTTCTTTTTTAAAAAATAGTACATGTGCACCCCACGAAGAAGATCTATGCCTAATAAAGAATTTATAGAGAAGCTCTTGGACTTAAGACATCAAGTCATGCATTTCCATGGGAGCTAAATGGTATGGTGCGCGAGCAATTGGTGTCGCATCTGGAACAAGATCAATTTTGAACTCGACTTGCATTTTAGGTGGCATACTTGGCTATTCATCAGGAATACTTCAGGAAATGGTTTTTTCTTAATTGGCTTCTAGCCAATCCATTCATATAACCACATCGAATCCCTTGATTCCTATCGGTAAAATATTACCTTTGAACAATTTCCTGTTGATTTTAAGACTACAATTTTTGTACATGTGAAGGACGATAGCAAACTCTCCATTAGCAACTTCTATAACATACACATCTTCTAACAATTACAATGTCACACTTATCTTGCCACAAATTCATGAGATACTAAAGAGTAAGTAGAACCTGAATTAAATAATTTATGTGTAAGTAAGAAATTGATAATTAGAGTACTTGAAACGCCATTATGTGCCTCATTTGCCTCTTGCGTCGTGAGTTGAAATGCACACCCTTTCACCTTTCAGGGCCCCATCTTCTTATTCACCATGGATACTAAGGTCTCATTCCCATTTTTGGACAAGCAGAACTATAATGGCCCTTTTCATGGCATGAGTAACATTCAATATCTTGTATGTATTTCATTTTTTACTCCTTAGCTTTATGCCCGAATTGTGCACATTTGAAACACTACATATTATTCATATTACATTCCCCCTTATGTTCCTTCCCAAATTTATCACACCTTTTATTACTTCCTTTTCTCGAATAGAGTATCAACCCTTATTGTTAGAGCTTGTATTGTCATAAAAGTTCCTTTTCTCCCTAAACGTTTCTCTTCTTAGCACGCCTCTTTACCATATCTTCAACATTTCGAGCAGAGAATATCACTTTATCTAAATTAAGAGCACGTTTAACCTCAAGTTCATACTCTACTGGAAGGCCATTTGCCTACCTATTGGTTCTCAAATGCTCAATAACGTAAGTATCTCTATAAAAGGAACCATATCTTTGAATTTCCTACTGTACTCATCCACTGATATATTTTCCTCTTTCACACAACAGCAAAATCATCCAACAACTTCTCAACATCCTGGTTTAGGAAATTTATTGTATTTGAATGCTCAACAATTTCCTCCTAGTTCCACTTACGTCTTGTTTCCCAATGCTTCATAGAACTTGTTCCACTACAAAGATGCATCATCATTGAGTAACGTAGAAGAAAATACACCACATGTTTTTCCTTTCATTCACTTAGAGTATCCCCAATGATTAACCGCACAAAAACCTATTACTTTTGCCACATCATATTTCCACTCATTTTTATATAACAAAAACTTTTATTAAATATCATCTCCAATGGTTAACATTTTTATAAGTTTTTTTTCTTCTAAAACTAAGTAACTTATCGTTTATCCATGTTACATGTTTTATTTTGCCCCCTCATATAATTTACAATTTTACTAAAATATAACTTGGTCCGATATTTTTTTCGAAATCATATTTTTTTATATATGTAGTTATAAAAATACAAAACAATACAATATTATAAACCTAATATTTTATATTTTGATATTTTTTAATTTTGAAAGTTTTGACAATTACTTTTAAATAATATAATTTTTTTATAAAATATATTCATTTTTGTGTTAATTAAATAAATTGTATAACTAATAAAAAAACTATCATCTAAATATAACTAGGTACAAAGTAAAATATTACTAAATGCAAGGTTGTAGAACTCGTTACTCGTTACCTGTTCGACCGACTACCGAGTAGCGAGTACTCGGGAGTACTCGCGAGTACTTGGGGAGTACTCGGATTCTGTAATTCATGTAAAAATATTTTTAGGGACATTATGTATGTCAAAATCATAAGTTGATTGAAATATATAACAGAATTAGATACATGTGAATACGCAAAAACCGAAAAACACATAGTGGTCTCACTTTGTGAATAACCACTGAAAATTTAAGATATATATGCAGTAATAATCACATGTGTGTGTGTTAAATAATAAATTATTAAGTATATTATACATATTAATAATCGAGTTGACCGAGTTTTACAACATTGTTCAGTTCAGTAAGTGGCCGATCAGGGAGTACTCGGGATTCTATAACTCGCCTCGGTAAATGGCCGAGTAGCGAGTACTCGGAGGAGTAATCGGCCAACTCGGCGAGTTTTACAACATTGACTAAATGTATGGATGAAATTAGTAGCGGATCAAGAACAAAATGTTAGAGGTAGCACACATGATTTTAGGAGTAACACGCTAGAAAAAACAAACTATGCCGAAATTTTTCGCAAATTTTTTTCACTACGCTACATAATCTGAGGGGCATACATGTAGGTCCTCCAGTGGATGAAATATGAAAAAGGTTAGAAGAAAACTTAAAAGATTAGAGAAGAATAAGTGTTTGGAGTGACCTATTAAAAAAATTATTCTCCAATAATAGAATGTTTTTCAAAAACTTATTGGAATAGTAAAAAAGTTTTAGAAAAAATCACTATTGAGGTGGAAGGAGTGCCGTATCAGCTCCACATCAACTTTTCTTTTCCTCCCTCTTCTATATTTTTCAATCCATAATACATGGAAATCCTATATTTCCTAATTCATTCAACCACTCAATTAAAATCACACAAAACAACATATGGTACAAGTATTTATGCATGAAGAACAATTACCTAAGCATAAGAGAATAGAGAGAGAATCTAGAGAGAGAGAGAGAGTGAGACATATGGTACTATTCTTCCCTTGTGTGGTACCAGCTTTCGCCTAGGGTCGCTATCTTGGAGGTACCCTTGACACCTCCTTAATTTCCTTCAAATTGCACACCACTCTGTGCATCCTTAGAGATGTTCTTACTCAAGAATTTTTTCCATCTATCGAATCAAACACATTGTAATTTTTGGATGATAACTTTATTTATATTCTTAAGGCTTACAAGCCATGAATGATTTAAATGAACAACCCCTATTTTCTTTAGAGCTGGATTAACTATCATCATCACCATCATTGTGATATAGATTTCCGGTATTAGCATTATCAACTTTGGATCTATTTTCTGTGGGATTATTGGATGGTGGTGGAGTATTTCCTTCCAAACGGGCATCAATAATATGATTAACATATTATTTTACAAGTTCCCATGATCAAAGAATTGATGGTAACGATGGTGATACCTTGACTTAGATACTTGAGGTGTAATTTAATTTAAATTCGTTTTTACCGAAGAAAACCACATGATCAAAGAAACCACCAATTACAAATGAATCTCTTTTTTTAGGAGTTAAAAAGACTTTGTCTTTAAATTACCAAAAAATGAAGTATAATTTTAAAGAGAACCTAACAGTTTGTTGGGCTACAATAACATTAGTTATTCTTTTATATAGATTTTGGCTTAAGTCAATATATTTTTGTTTGATATTCTAAGATTTATATGTAGAATATTTTATCAGTAAAGTAAAACTGAAAATTAGACAATTGTTTTAACAAAATTATTAATAAATTTTATAATATTTTCAAATGATATCAAATAGGAGGTGATTCTCCACTTAGAGCATTCACAATGCAAGTAGTATAAGAGTTGAATATAATGACTAAGATTGAATATAAGTCGAATAGAGTGTGGATGAGGGCATAAAGTAGAATTGAATTATCATTGAATGATTGAATAAAATGATGATTAAGATTGAATATGTGTTTAATGAATAAATTATAAGTGTTTTTGTATAAATGTTTAATGGATGATGTCGCAATTCATTGAACTCTATAGAATTCAATGGATTGTTGATCCCCTTAAATTTGAAGAAACACGTCACATATCAAATACTTTTTTGAGTAGCATATTCTATGTTTCTAATATTATTTGACGGCTCCTCATTATTTTTCCCTAATTTACTACTACAATTAATGAAACCAAATATCAAATTTCATATAACTGTTTAAGTAATGATTAATTGAGTCTTCGCGATGAGATTAGTGGTTAATTATGAGTGAAATTCCACACACATGAGGCCCGAGATTCAACCCTGACACAACCATAGTATTTTTAGTATTCCACAATTAACCTTCCGTGTGGACTTTAAAGAGTTTGACATTGGTTGCTCAATACGGTCTATTTTTTTAACGATCCTTAATTAGATCACATAAGCCTTTTTTAAAAAACTCATAAACTGTAATTAAGGTTCTTACAAATACAATGCAAACCGTTACTAGGTAATGGACAAATAAATAAACTTAGATGTGTATCTTAGATAACGTAAAATGTAATATATACTTGCTCGCTAGCTATATGCCTAGACAAGAGAAACCCTAATTAAAATGCAACATATATTAACTTAAATTTGGTCGACACTGATTGCTGGACTTGGCAGTGGATGTATTGTTCCTGTTTCAGACGGCTTTCTATCTTTCTCCTCATCAAAGCTTTGTATTATTGAGGTCATCTTCCGGTAGAATGATTCTTGTGAAATTAGTATTTCCTTCTTTTCATACAAGAACTTAAACACAGAGACGACAAGCGCATAAGTTGATGACAAACCCGAGATCCAAAAAAGACCCTTGAAACTAGCGACTGTTAGCTTATCAAAGGTTTGAACATCCGCATTTTGGTCGGGGCAATGAGCTGCATCTCCAAACCATTTGTTTGATATGGCACTCATTTGTCCTTCTATCACTTTCAAGATTCCTCTTGAGAAGTCATCTACCAGCCACGATTCTTTTGGAAATGCCTGTTCATAACAACTCACTGCATATATCAACTTAATTACCTATAAAAAGATTTGTGTATAATGTAAGTTAAGTTAATCACTACTTACAAAGCCAAAGCCTGCAGACTTGTAGGTCGGACCCACCATTAGATACTTGTTACAGTTCTTCGCCATCAACATCTTGAGATAAGGGACATCATCAACGATCGCAGCAACCCCATTGTTTTTACTTCCATTTGAAAGGGCATCCGCATACTCTTGAAAGCTTGAGTAATTCTTCAACTTGCTACTAGGAAAACCCATGCTCTTTAACATATCTCTAACATAGGAACCATCTTGGTATCCTACGTTCTCTCCTCTTGCTATGAGTTCATATATATTCGTAACAGTTGGTTGGAGCTTTTGCACGGTTAACATGGACGCGAAGCTTGCTGTGTAGCTGGAGGTCAGCACCAGAACCACAAATAACCACACCATCACTACAAATCTAGATAAGTTGCATACCATCTTCTCCTCTGCAAGATTTATGTATTCCCATGTTAATTTGTTTTCTTATTAATGCATCTATGACACAACAGACATGTTTTGGAAATATAACTTAAGTGTGTGTTGGGTAATTTTTGATGATTAAATTTGGTTATGGGTGTGGGTCTTTAAGTTGTTTTATTTACCATTTAAATAAAGGATAGTTGACTAAGTTTAGAGTAGCTTAAAGTTGGTATACTTGCTCAATATAATATATGTGTCCTATTATCTATGAGTATAAAGGATATTTGAATAAGTTTAGAGTAGCTTAAAGTTGGTATACTAGGTAAATATAATATGTGTCCTATTATCTAGGAGTGGTGGCTATTTATAACCTTTTGTTTTTATGAATGTGTGTGCAGTTTTTGAGTCACGGTTACTTATTCCTTTCTCTATATATTTATCACATATTAAAGAGAGGGTGTTTTCTTTAGTTTGTGAGGGAGCGTTGAGGGCCTTATTTCCAACAGTGTGTGATTGAATAGAAACTTACTCTGTGCGAAAAAAAGAGTGGAGAACGAAAACCAGAAGACTAGCCCAATTTGTTGATGAGGGGGACCACGAAATTCTTTATTTACACGGTGCTCTATGACCCAAACAACAACTCCAGTGTACATGAAAAGTGCTCCGATTGTTATCCACAGCTTCGTTTCTAGAGGCCTCATGAAAATCCAAATGTTTTTACCATCATCAACCTTAGCTGGAACGAGCATCGATACCCCAGACTCTGAGTATGCGAGAGTGAAATCAACAGTCCGTGATCTGTTCCACTTGATGGTGACGTCTGCAACCACCATATCGAAATTCTGTGCAATTTTAAACAAGAAAGAAGAAATTGTAAGTACTAAAAACTTATGTTGGTATACATACATGCGATGCACAATCATCTACTTACACCAAGGACAATTTGATGAAGAAGATCATTGTAGTCAGGAGCATCGTATGGAGTGAGGTTGTAGTGTACAGTGTATGGCAATGCATCTATGACAGCTTTGAAGACATCTATGACAAATCCACTCGCTTTAACCTCCTGGGTGTTAGGATCGATTTCGGCTTCAATAAACTCAACGAACCCACCGTTTGCTGGAACTCCCACTCTTAAAAAGATGTCGCCACCTGTTGGGATTCCCAATACGCCTTTAGGGAATTCTGAAGTATCTCCAGGCCATATGATGGCTCCTAAGTTATCTTTGTTAGTCGTATAATCTGTACTTCCATTGTTGATTATTCGATTTGATATTCCATTTCTTGAACTCCAAAATCCAATTTGTTTCTCCCCCTTATTCCCGATCACATTCACTATATGGTATGCCGGTATTTGTAGTTGTCCATTGACCACCTGGAAATCGCCACTCACCCCTCTATGCCTCATATCTCTGATCATTGAAAGGAACTTCGGTCCCATTTCTGAGGTTCCAATGGCATCCAAGTCTGTCGAGGCATTCCTTGGTCGCTTGAAGGTAGTGCTTAATTCGGTGTCAACTCTCTTTAACGCTGTAGCAAGTCCAATAATAGAGTCATAAGTCCATATCCCAAACATATCAAGCTCAACTCTATGATCAGTGTCAGGGTATTCTTTATGGAACCTCCTCTTCCATCTTCTCTCAAAGTTGGTTAGCTGGTTGGTTTGTGGTATATAGGGCTTCACACCTAGTACACCCTGCATAGAATGTAAAGCAAGGGGTTCCACATGATGCAAGAAACAAGTGAGAACATCAGTGATTATCCATGCATATCCTTGAGCCATCATTCCAGCTTCGTCTGCTTTCTTAAAGAAACGTGAAGCGAGATCCGGTAACATGTGTACCACAAAAACCCTAGTTTGCATGGTCTTTAATTTGTAAAGTTGTAGCAGAATCTCATCATCCGATGAGGATGGAGACAAAAGGGTGCGGAACATAACCTCAGTGCCAATGTTTACCATGGCATCTGATAAATAGGGAATGGGTTCTCTTCCAAAATCAGTATCTTCGTAGACAAACACCACTTTCTTCCAGTCGAAGGATTTGACTACAGCTGCAATGGGTTGTGCTTGTGTTGAGGAAGCTTGTGCTATGCGGATGAAGTAGGGGTTTCGGATTGGAGAGATATCAGGGTTGGTTACTGGAGATATGATGGGAACCTTCGATCTTTGTGCAATATCAAGTACAAACTGTGCCTGTGACGATTGTTGGGGTCCAACAATTGCTGTAACTTGAGTATTTTTCAGAAGGTCTATGGCTGTATATGAGACATAAAACACATGATCAGCATGAAAATCATTTACCATATTTGGCATAAACATACTAATACTAGTGGTTACGAACCAGCTGAGGCAGCATCTATGTTATCGTTTTTGGAATCCCAAAAGTGAGGGACAATAATGGTGGAGTTGTTAGTGTCTCCATGAGAATCTTCAATGGCCATCAACATGCTGATTCGGATGCTCTTTCCGAGGCTGGAATTCATATCAAGAATCGCCCCTACTCCTATTTCTTGCCTCCCTTGTTTTTCACCATTCACTATCAACATCATCGTCAAAGCTAACACTAACACAACATGATTCGCTACAGAAATTTTCATCTTTCACCTTTCTGCACACCTAGCTTTTTTAGGAAGACTGGCTGGGGGTGTATTTGATGATTAACTGATCTGGACAAAGACGACTATATATGTGATTCTTGTTCATATATATATATATATATATATATATATATATATATATATATATATATATATATATATATAGAGAGAGAGAGAGAGAGAGAGAGAGAGAGAGAGAGAGAGAGAGAGAGAGAGAGAGAGAGAGAGAGAGAGAGAGAGAGAGAGAGAGAGAGAGAGAGAGAGAGTCTCCTCATTAAGATTTGACTTGACTAAAAGTCCATGCAACTCCCGGCATACGTAATGTAGTTTGTTTGACTCAGTCCCTTTTTCTAGACAGAGTGAAGATCTATAGTTTATATTGATGTTTCTGATTACGAGTTGAGTTGAGTACGTGAGTTGAGTTCTATGAATAAAAGACCATAAAGAACAAAATCAGACCTAATGATTTTGGACGGCCGGCTCTTTTTTGGTATTAACTACTAAATTCATAAAGCTTACTAAATTGATAATCTTTTTAACACATACCTCTAACACCCACAGAAAATATGATAATACCTACGCCACAATCCCTAGGTATTCCGTAGGTATAACACTAGAAAATATGATAATATCTACGACACAATCCCTAAGTATTCTGTAGGTATAGGGCGATACCTAGGGAATTGTGACGGAAAAATGACCGTAACGTAAACGCTCGTGGGTAAATATTTACTATGGAATAATTACGGAATACGGACGGGATTATCCGTCGGTAAATTACCGACGGAATACCTACAGAAATAAATAAATACAGATTACTGACGGGGCCCACTTTGACTACATTGACTTTATCACCTACAGATTTCCGATGATCCACATTACTGACGGACATTCCGTCAGAAATCCATCACTAAATTAGTAAAAAAATAAAAATAAAAATCCAGTTTTTTCTGCTTAAAATGCAGAATAACCCTAATACATTAGATTTATAAGAAATTTTTTATTCAACCACAAAACTAATAAACATTACAATACTCATTGTTGGTTATAACATTATATTGTGCATTTACTCAATTTATTTCATAAAAGTAACTTAAATACAAACCAATACAATTCATACAAATACAATACATTTGAATGTATTTTCCTATTTTATACAAGATATAACTTGTATTTAATTTACATAAAAAATCATAAAAATGGATGTCCACTTACATGAGCAAATCTATATTGAAGTATAACTTTTTATAGCTCTTAAACCCTTGGATGAAGACCAGATTCAATACATGAGCTAATTACCAAATAAAGAAAATGAAAAAAAACAAAAAAATTGTAGAGAATAGCAATATATCTTACTCTTGGTGCCAATTTGGATAATATACTTTAATTTTTACTCATTAGAGCTACATACTTATGTATTTGACCAATAATTGCAATGTTTTCGGTAATATTTTTTATAGAATCCTAACTACATTTCTATTAAAGATAGAAGTCACTAGTCAAGTTATTTTCAACCCTTTATAGCATCATACTTTAATTTCTTCATATTACATTGCAACAGATTTGGCATGCATTGAATTATAAAGACATCAAGATTACATGTACACATTTTGAAAACAAATCGGTTTAAAAAATAAAATCATAAAAAGAGTACCTGAATGGAAACCAAAAGTAGGATGCTATACTAAAAAATCATAAAAACTATAAGGTTAATTCATGCATCTAACCCTAAAAAAAACTTTCCAAGTTTCAAGAAAACTATGTTGCTATATTTAGAATTTCTTACTCAAGAAAGGTACCCAAGTTGTAGCACTTATGGTTTTATGCTTTGTGTTTTTAAGGTCGAACCTCATATTCTGATGAGTTAAATACACGCTGGCCACCAGCTCCAACGCCAACGCCAGCACCAACGCCATCGTTAGCTTATGAACATCACTAGCGTCAACATATGATCACTAGTAGTAGTATATTTACTTTGTATTATGTAATTATAGTAACAGTAGTTGTCCGTTAACTGTTCCTTAATCATAGTGATTAGGATTAGTCTGTTTACTTAGATTAGAATCAATCCCTTAAATATCGAGATTGATTGTTACTAGTTTTACTATATATTTATTTAATCGGGTTGTGCTAATTGCAACCCTAATCGCTGCTTTATGCTGATTCTCTTTGTGAGGATCACTTCTCAGTGAAAACATCTTTGTGAAACTTTGTTCTTATTTCTTTCTTGTTTGTAATCGATCAAGCGAACCTTCAAGTGGTATCATAGCGGGTTTTCTGATACATTCAAGATATCGTGTCTTCCTCATCTCAATACCATCCCAAATCCTTAGTAGCAAATAAAATTCCATTTTTCAATGAATTAATTTTGCCATGTGGAAGACAAAAGCTTTGGTTGTTCTTGAAACTATGGACTATAACATGCTCCACATCGTCAATAATGGTCCACATATTCCCATGTATCAAGTTATGGTCGATAATGCACCCACTGGTGGATTAAATCTGAAACCGAAGCCAAGCTATGATTAAGAAGACAAAAGACCCATGGGTCTAGATGTGAAAGCAATCACATTTATCACCTGGATTGGAATTGTGAATATGCACACAAAATGATGGAGATGCTGACAGTTGCTTATGAAGGCACTATAGAAGTTCAAGCAATTCAAATCAACAACTTGAATCAGATATATGAGCACTTCTTTGCTCAACAAGGTGAGACTCCAATTCAAACCTTTAACAGGTTTAACTGTTTGGTTAATGATATGCACAGATTAGACACCACTAATGTAACACCTAGTTTTAGTGATGTTCTAATTTCGAGATGTCGGGCAAGAATTTGATCAAGTGATGGCGTTGGACTTCAAAGGAATACGGTTTAGGACCTTTTCGAATATTGGCAATGTTGGATTAAGTGATTAAGGCCATCGATTTGTGCCATGAAGCAAAGGATAAAATTTGGAAGGTGATATCTCAGGCTTCTTGCATGAATTAAGGATTTTAGTTCGATATGTTTTTAGTCAAAAGTAACTAGATAAGATTTTGGGGCTCGTTAATACCTTTCCGTGTGTATAAAGAACGCTGAAAACAAAGTTGAAACGAGGAAGTTATGGTTGTTTGAAGTTGAATTGGAAGATAAGGGTTTTGCACAATGTAGGGCGTAGGTAAGCTACGCAAGGTATAGACGCTGGAGGAGGAGCACATTCTTAAGGAGCTATGGATGGCGTAAATTAAGCTACACATGGCATAGCTGCTGCCGACTAAAACCCTAATCCTAAGGCTTTGGGCCCTATTTAAGGGCTCTAACTTCTTGGAACCCTTCCCATTGTCAACCTCCATCACCTCATATCAATCTTTTGAAACCCTAGCCACCAATTGTGAGTTTTGGATGCATTAGTGTGATTTTTGTGTGCATTCTTGAAGACGGATTCCATTGGAATAACAAGTGTGATCTCTAAGCTTTGTAGATGCAGACTTTGCACTTCATCACCTATCTCTATAAGGTGTAAAGTTTTCATCTTGATGTTCCTTTTGTTAGATCTAATTAGTTCATGAGTTTTGTTCTTTTTGTCCCATAATCTTGGTCCTTGTGAGTATAGGTTACTCCATACAATTTGAATGCCCCCTTCTAATGCTTTTCAGGCTATATAGTCATAAAAATGAGAGCTTGGACACTCTCATGCATCCATGCATGAGTTCTTGAGCAATAGATAACTTTATGGACCTAGGTTTTGGTTTTTTTCTCTTTGTGACCATGGAAATGGATAAAGTCAGAGACTTTATCCATTAAGATGTTCATCTAGATCAGATCATGGATTTTGGGGGTTTGGATTGCTGTATTAAGAGCTTGATAGAAGTTTTTGGGATCAGGGGCACTACACATGGCGTAATCTAGGTACACATGGTGTAGCTCTACGCAGGGGTTATATTAGTTACACAGCGTGTAAGTCATGTGAGGCTTGACCATTGACTTTTTTTTCCGGTTTGACTTTTGGACTTAGTATTGGAAGGGCAAAATGGTCTTTTTCCCAAAGGAGGTTTAATTGTGAGCCTAGAGTTTTTGTTGGCCAGTCATTTCCTTGATTGTTAATTTTGGTTTATTGTGGATATGTTTAATAAGGGGAGGCTTGATATCGTCGGCTCGAGTGGGTGGTTTATCTTGTCTTCAGGATTGAGGTGAGTTTTCCTCACTGTACTCGTGGGTCGAAGGCACCAATACCGGCCTACTAGATTGTGTTATGTACCCTTTTGAATAGGATGTTGTTATGTTGTAATGATCTGTTAGATTGGGAGATCTGTATGATTACTTGTATTTGCTGGTTATTATTATCTGTTGCATATGTCGACATATTATGGTTAGGTTGAGGCGGTCATGCTTTGGGCTGAAGTTCAAGATACTCGGGCGGTCCAGTTGATACTGTAGGCCCAAGGGAGCGGTACGGTTTATGATGTAGGCTTGGGAGCGGTCCAACTTATTGTTGAAGGCTCAGGTGGCGGTCTAGCCTTGTGTTGTGGGCCTTGTGTGCATGCATTATATTTGTGTTATGTGTGAGGTATTTTGGGGAAACTCACTAAGATTTAGCTTACAGTTATTGATTTCATGGTTTCAGGTACATCATATGATCGGGGCAAGGCGAAGGCGTGAGTGTACACATCCTCCTGCTGATATATGTTTTGAGAGATTTTTGATACTCTGATTTTATCGATTTGTCTTCAAAACAATGGTTTATTATATTATGGTATGTATAAATTTTTTTTAAAAATGTAATTTTTTTATCATGATGTTTGGGATGCTACAAGTTGGTATTAGAGCCCTGGTTTGAGAGAATTAGATGAACACTTGTGTGATTCCAGACTCAAACTATGGATCTGCAAAAATACTTTTCAAAAATTAACTCTAAAATAATCGACGAAGAGGATGTGGTGTGTACAATCAACCGAAGTCAAGGAAAGTTATTCCCTAAGATACCCACATTTGTTTATGTGTATTAGTGATATGTTAG